TTTTCCCTTTTACCACTCTGAGTATGCCATGCCATTCCCTTTTGGCCTGCAAACTTTCTGCAGAAAAATCAGCTGATAGACTTATGGGTATTCCTTTGTATGTGACTTTATGTGACTTTTTCTCTGGCTACCTTTAATTTTTCTCTTTAATTTAACTCTTCCCATTTTAACTATGATACATCTTGGTCTATATCTCTCAGTTCATCTTGTTTGGAATACTCTGAATACCTGAATATCTGTTTCCTTCTTCAGGTTCAGGAAATTTTCAGCCATAATTTCATTAAATACATTTTCAACCCTCTTCACTCTCTCTCTCCTCTTCTGGAACCTCTATAATGTGAATGTTAGCATACTTGATGTTGTCTCAGAGGTTCCTTAAACTGTTCTCATATTTTAAAAATTTGTTTATCTTTTTACCATTCTGGTTGGGTGATTTCCATTATTCTGTCTTCCAGATCACTTATGCATTCTTCTCTGTTACTTAGTCTTCTGTTAATTCTTTCTAGTATATTTTTCATTTTAGTTATTTCATTCTTCAATTCCGATTGGTTTTTGTACTTTCTAGTTCCTTGTTAAAATTCTCTCTGTGTTCATCTGTTCTTTTCCCTAGTTTGTTTAACATTCTTATTTCCAATGCTTTGAACTCATTATCTGGTAAATTCTCTCTGTTCTCATTGGTGGTTTTTTCATTGTTCTTTCATTTGAAGGACATTGCTTTGTTTTCTCACTTTGCTTAACTTTTTCTCTTGCCATGAAATTAGGTGAAACTGTTACCTATCCTGATCTTGATGTATTGTACTTAATGTGTAAGCGTCTCTATGCCGTCTGCCTGTGCTCAGTAGTTTTGATGTGAGAGCTGGATCTGATGTGAATATGGGTCATGTCTCCCCCCAGGGTGTGCTGTCTGGTATCACCTGGTGGGTGATGGGGCTGGAGGTGGAGGGACTAGAGCCATAGCCAAGTGTGAGCTGAAGCTTCTTCTATGCTGAGTGGTCATCACTACCTATCAGGGGTGGGGACTTGTCCCCAGGTGCTGAAGCAGGGGTGGTATTCAAGCTGGTTGCTTTCCCTGTAAGCACGCACTCTACCCTCTCCTAGAAATGGCACTTTTGCCCCAGGAGGCACAGTGCCAGAGAAGAAAGGGCTGCAGTCGGCACCAGGTGTGGGGCAGGGTGTACACTGGGACAGTCCCAGCAGGCTAGTCAGCTCCAATCAGCTCCTGATATGCTGCCTCTGAGTACCAGCAGTGGCTGTACTTGCCCCATTTATATGCAGGGTTAGGTCTGAGCCAGCTCCACCCCCAGCTACACACGCTCCTCAGCAATGGTAGCTTTCAACCCGGTGGGAAATCTCCAGAGGCAGAGGGGCTGGGCACATGCTAGGCAGTTTCATGAAAGTCTCCAGAATGCCATCCTACACTTCATTCCTGGGAGTAAGCAAACTTGGGTCTAGGTTTCTAGGTTTCTCACCCTCCTCGAAGTCCAATTGATTTTCAGACCACTGAAGAAGACTTATATCCTTCTGGAACTCCTATACTGTAAATGTCAGCATGTTGGGCCCCAGGGCTGAAGTACCAAATATGTAGGTCAAATCACTACCAGGAGAGATCTAGGGACCACCACATATCACCCTTCTCTTCTGTGGGCCCAGGTCTCAGCCTGATAGCTCTTTTTCCTTCTTACATGACTCATAATGGCTCTTTCTTTTACAGCTTTTATTTCATAACAGTTTTTCTTTCCATTTCCAGTTTGTTTTCAGAGAAAGTTGCTCCATGTATTAGATTATTTTTGATGCATTCATGGGGGAAGATGATGTTGGCATTGAAAGGTTGTTGCTAAACGATGAGACGCGGGATTCTTGGCCTCCGGAGGAGACGAATTCAATCCGGGGCCAGAGACGAGGCTGGATCGCTCAGAGCTTTTGTGTAATAAAGTTTTATTAAAGTATAAAGGAGATAGAGAAAGCTTCTGACATTCTCCTCTCCTCCATCCTTTACTTTCAGCGTCTTTGTGTTTTTGTATCTAAAGTGAGTATTTTGTAGACAGCATATAGATCACTTGTGCTTTTTTATCCAGTCTGCCAATCTTTTATTTGGAGATTTCAATCCATTTACATTAAAAGTAATTATGGATAATAAAGGGTTTCTACTGTTTTTTTTCTGTATGTCTTACAATTTTTTATTCCTCAATTACTTCATTATTGCCTTTTAAAATTTTTTAGGTTTTTTTTTTTTGTAGTGTGTTGTTTTGATTCCTCCCCTTTTAAACTTTTCTGTATATATTTTTATTTTCTTATTGATTATCTTAGTGTTTACAATTAAATCTTAACCTTATAACAGCTTTATTTGAATGATACCACTTTGTTTCAATAGTGTGAGAACACTACTTCTGTTTGTCTCCATCCCTTCTCCTTTGTGTTTTTGCATAGATTGCATCTTTATACATTGTGCACCCATTCACATGGATTTATAATTGTTATATAATGCATTTGCCTTTTAAATCATATAAGGGAAAAATAAAACCAAAATTACATATTTAGCTATGTAGTTGCTTCATTTATTTCTTATGACTTTTGAGTTACTGTCTATTATCCTTTCATTCCAACCTGAAATGAAAGTTTTTCGTTTAGCGTTTCTTGTGAGGCAAATCTTTTAGTAACAACCTGCCTTTGTTTTTGTTTATCCAGAAGTCTTAATTTCTCTTTCAACCTGCTCAGTGTAGAATCTTGGTTGACAGTCTTTTCTTTCTGTACTTCCAAGTATTTTTTCCTGTCTTTAGTTTTCTCTTCTTGATAGGCTCTGTACACTTATCTTTTTTTTTTTTCTTTCTGTTTCTTAGAATTGACTATTTCAATTATATGGTCTCAAATTTGCTGATTCTTTTTCTGCCTCCTCAGATCTGCTTTTGAGCTCCTCTAGTGGAATTTTAATTTCAGCTATTATCCTTTTTAGCTCTAATATTTCAGCTCTAATATTTTATAACTTCTTTGACTTTATTGATATTCTCATGTTGTTCATTCGTCATTATCTTGATTTCCTTTTTGTCCATGTTTCCTTTAATTCTTTGAACATATTTAAAACAGTTGATTTAAAGTCTTTATTTTGTAAGTACAGTGTCTAGACTTCTTCAGGGACAGTTTCTATTAATGAGTTTTCCCCTTTGTATGGATCATACTTTCCATTTTCCATGTGTAAATATTTGTGATTTCTTGGTGAAAACTGGACATCCAAATATTGTAAGTGATAACACTGGAAAACAAGAGTCCTGCCTTCCCCAGCATTTGCTGGTTTTGTTTGCTGATGGCTTGGCTAGTGGTCATTTTTTTTTTTCAAATTGTATTCTATTATATGTTATTTCAAGATATCAGGTATAATTCTGTGTTACACAGTAAATTCTTGATGCTTATCTTTTTATGTATAGTTTGTATCTGTTAATACTTCTTATTTGTCCTCCAAGAATTTCTTGATTTTTCTAGGTCTTTAATAGTTCCATCTGCATTTTAGAAACAGCCTGTATGTATCTACAAAATAGCCTTATTAGATTTTTATTCTGATTGTATTAAGTCTGTTGATCATCTGGGTAAGATTTGACACGTTAACAGTAGCAAGTCTATTATAAACATGACATTTCTTTGTTTATGTCTAATTTTCTCTCAGTGAAGTTTTGTAGTTTTCAGTGTAAAGTTGTTACACGTCTTTCATTAAATTTAACCTGAGATAGTTGATATTTTGGAATGTGATTATAAATTTTATTGCTTTAAAATACCCTTTTACAGATTATGTTGGTGGTAAATATGGTAGTAAATAACTGTAAATATGGTTATTTTTTGTACCTTGTATCCTGCAATCTTGCTAAATCTACTTCTTAGTTCTAGAAATTGATTTGTCTGCTCTTTTTGGTTTTCTCCATCCACGGTCTTGTCATCTGCAAATAAGGATGGTTTTCCTTTTTCTTTTCAGTCTGTGTTCCTTATTCTTTTTCTTTTGTTGGCTGGAACTTTCCCATACAGTGTTGGCTAGAGGCAAGGGCAGCAAGGGGCAAGGGGAAATACATTTGGCATTTCACCTTTGGCACAGGGTTGGCTGTGGGTTCTACAGAGGCCCTTCTAGATGGAGGAGGGACCCTCCAGCTTCAGCCCCTGTGCTTTCTGTGAGGGAGTGTGGGACTTCTCAGATACTCCCCCTGCATCTGTGGGGAGCATCATATGGAATTCTCCCTTGGTGTGTAACTGTGGTGAGATGCAGTGATTTTTGCTGGGACAACATCATTGCATTTGTGGGGCAAAACCTCACTTGGCTCTGATGTTTTATCTCTTTTTTTTATAGTTGCTTGGTTATGTCTGCCAGCATTTTGTCTAGAGAGTTTGAAGGCTGTTGGTCTGTAATCTCTTTTCTTGCAGTAGCTTCATCAGGTTTCTGCGTCATGGCCATGTGGGTCTCACTAACCATCACAGCTCATTTCCCTGTCCTTGTGGTGCTTCTCTTCTGGGGCTGTACCCGAGCTGCAGGGAGCCGAGGAGCCGCCCTGCCCCCGACTCCAGATCGCTGGGCACCCAGCCCTGCAGAACGCCCAGCTGTCCTGGACCTCCCACAATGGCCCTGACTAGTCAAGCAGGAGGTCTTTGGGTGGGGGGGGTGTGGTTCCCTCACTGTGACTCAGGGTTTAGGTCCTGCCAGGTCTGCTTTGAAGCCCGCTCTGGCTGGTGGACATTCACGGCATGTGTCTGCCTTCTTGCCCCACACTTTCACTCTGATGTCAGCCACTAAAAGGTGCCCCAGGGCAGGTCCTGAGACCACCCTCTCCTGAGGATGGAGGAACTGCAGGGACCCCCAAGGCCCTGAGTGATGCCAGCTGATTGAAGCCATGTTTCTTGTCTTGTAGATGAACACATCTCGAACAGCAATGGGGATGCCTTGTCTGGCCCCGGTACCCAGCGCCGTACCCACCGTGGTCATTCCTGGAGCTGCCTCAGCCCTTCCTGTGCCCGTGCCAGGTACTGCCCTCTCCTGCCTCCCAGCCCCACCTTTGGGCCAGTATGGAAGCCTGATCCCAGTTCCAGTGTCCTGGGGTCCCTGGGCAGCCCAGGCAGGCAGCCGGAGCCCCAGCGGGGGGCCAAGCCTGGGGGCAGCAGATGCGCCAGCCCTCCCTGTGTTCTTCCGGCCAACTGTGGTCAGCATGCCCGGCCCCAGGCTGCAGATCATGTAGCTCTCTGTCTCACTACTTGCCAGTGGAAGACACTGAACAGCCTGGAGGAGTCAGGTTGTGGTTTGGCCTCCGAGTCCTGCCCTGCCTGCTCATGGGTGCCCAGCCAGGGAGCTGGCACATGGGCAGCAATCCTCGCTTCCTTTATTGCTGCAGACCTTGTTTCCTCTTAGGTTCCTGTGGTCAACACTTGCTGTCTTTGCACTCACTTCCTGTACTTGAATCAATGGTTAGAACATTGTAATAACCCTGCAGAAGTACAGTGCCTTGAATTCCAGCTTTTCCATTCCCTGATGGAAAGAGGTGTTTTAAAAAAAACCATGTATCAGAAAAGGTGTATTTCATTTATAGTTGGTTTGTGCTTTGATATCTCTATTTCCCATTTTAAGTTGCAGAGATATGAATGGTTTACAAATCTGAAGCTAAAGTCTGATCTTTTCTGTTGTACCTGCTTTAAAAAAATTGAACTAGTGACCTTGAATATTGAAGAGTTGCAAATGCTAGAGTAACTCTGCTTTGTACTCATAAAATGAGATCTCTCCAGCGGTATGGTCACAGATAGCAAACAGATGGACAAATTCCCTCAACTGCAGTGCCGTGGGCACTGCCAGCAGACTTCCCAGGGGTGCATGGTTATTGGGGCAGTGCATTGCTAATGGTGGTTGATCTCTTAGTCAGGACTGTTCGCATCTGTGTTTGGCTACGTGGAACCTGCTGTAAAGTGCTGGGTGAGCAGACATGATCCAAAGCCTGCAGGGCTGCTACGAGTGTGGGAGAGGTAAAGGTGTGTGTCTGGAGGTGCCGAAGCACAGGCAGGCCACCTGCTCTGCAGAGAGAGTGTGGCCCCTTCTGCTCAGGGGGCCCACCAACCTCCCCTCCCAGCCTGCCTTCCTTTTCTGTTCTTTGCACAGAGGCCTATGGCCACCTGGGCCTGGCTTTCCCATGTGCTCACAGGCTGCTCTGCCCACCTCTGGCCTCCAGACTGTTCTCCAGGCACAAGCCATCATGCTGGGGGGTAGGAGTGTTCCTCTCCTGGAAATTTCAGTGGTATCCTCATCTCAGACAGGCACCAAACAGCCCAGGGTGGGAGCTGAAGGCCCCGCTCCCCACTGGCCAAGATGTTTCCCGTTTCCTACTAGGAGGCAGCTGGTTGGGCTGCCCAGTTGTGAATTGTATAGTTCTGCTGTACTTTGGGACTTCACTAGGACTGGCTGAATTCTTTTGGTTTAAATGTATTATTCCATCAATTCAGTTAGAATTGAATTTTCTAGGTGATTATGCAGAATCTTCTGCCAGGGCATGACGCTATAGTAAGAGATTTCTGTTCTCTGTAATGTGCCCCTGGGTCCTTGGGTTGAGACTCCTGTGCGCCGGGTTCCTGCGGGTGGTGGAACCTGCCCTCTTCCCACTCCCCTGCTGTACCAGACATGCGGTTTGGAGTCCTGGCCTGTAATAGGAATGGTCAGTGGCACAGGCTCTCCAAGAGATTGTATATTTGAAGGAGAAAAATAAACATTTTTGCTTGAAAACAGTGTGGAGCCACATCTTTTTCTTAACTTCTGGCCACATAGAAGCTGAACCTGCCAGTCTCATAGGGAGCATTGGGTGGGCAGCCCTGGCAGGCAGCACTGCTCTGGCCTGGCATAGCTTCACTCTCAGCAACACGCCTGCTGTCAGCACCTCGCCCAGGAAGCCGGGGCGGCCAGGAGGGGCCAGGGGGCTGAGTGGCAGGTGCTGTCTTCCTGGCAGGATCTGGTGTGACTGATGCTGAGCCGACCGAACTCAGAGGATGAGAGTGGGGTGTTGGGCAGGGCTCGTAGACCAGCTCTGTGGCTCTGGGCCTAGGTTGGCCTGTTCACTCGGCTTTCAGACTCTGAATCTGAACTGCATTTGGATGTACAGTAGCCTCTGCCTATGGAGGGTATGAGTCTCATGGCCAACCGAAAGGTGTCTCTGACCCCTGTCCATGTTGTCTAACAGAAAGCCAGGTTTGTGTGACTCGCTCTGGACAGAGCTGGATGGGGGCTGGGCCACCTGCTCTCAGGTCACCTGAGGGGCTGTGCTGTCCCGCAGGTGCAGGCTGGGGGAGGCCCCCTGCGGGGCTCAGCACGTTTTCCTGGCTCGCTGGCCCTGATGGCCGTATGCTCAGCCGGCGGTGCCCCCGCATGCCTGCTGCACGCACTCAAGCTGGGGGTGGTGGTTCCTCCCACTGCACCCAGCTGGGGTTGCGGCCCTGGCCTGTTTGTCCTGTTTCCACCAAGGTGCAGTCAGGCGTTGTGCTCCGGCCACCTGCAGTGCTCCACCTCAGCACTGGCTCTGGGCAGAGGCCGGGGTGGCTTGGGGTGCTGTTCTGCTTGCTGTGTCCACAGAGCCAGGGGTCCCTCCCTCTCTCGAGCAACAGTTGTGCAGACCCTGGGAGACCCTGCCTGGTTCGGGCGGTTGCTCAGTATGGAAGATGGCCAGATGGCAGAGGCAGCCAGGAGTCTTATCTGTGTAGTGCCTGGGTCTTGGTCAGGTGGCCCGGCCCTCCAAGGAGTGTGACCGCTCTGGTGTCACCATTCCAATGTCCAGGGCCTCACATGGTCACGGCAGGCCTATAATGAGCTGTGGCGGTTTTGTTTTCTAGATTCTGAAAGTGAGAAGCCCGACTGAGCCCAGGCAGGCCGACCCAGACCCAGACGCCAGGCCCCGTGTCATCTCACGCAGAGAAGGCGAGCCCACGCCTCGCGTCCGGTTCACCATGTTTTGTAATCACTTTCTAAGCATTTTTTATTCACAATTGGAAACACAAATGTAAGCAAGAATAAAAAAATATTTTGGGGGAAACGGGACTTTGGTTTTTCAAACTCTCCTTTCTGGTGGTCCCCAGACAGGCAGGTAACCTGCAATGGTGGTAAGTGAATGAGGGTGTTGGAAAAACTCCTGGGATCGCACAGCTGGACGGGTCTGGGGGTAAGTACCCTTAGCTAAGGGGTTCTTAAATATAGGGATGGACACTTTCTATGGTGCTTAATAGTGCCCAGGGTAGCTCAAGGTCCTTGTGTCCAGACAGCAGCTAGGATGGGTCAGATGTGTGATAAAGACCCAGCTCTCAGAGAAGCAGTTGAGGTTGTGGATTGCAGGCATCCTGGCCCCAATTTTCAGGCATTCTCCTCCTTCACACCCAGGACAGCCCCATTCTGTGCAGAGCCCTGGAGGCTGAACAGTGGTGCCCATCTCCAGTGACGGCTCCTTGGCCCATCCAGGCTTGGGCCTTTGTGCACACAGCTCCATTCATTATGCTGCCCCTCAGGCTTTCTTACTCTGTGTCACTTGAAGACTCATGATCATACATCCCCCAGGCACAGGACAGGCATCCACAGTGGCTTGAAATGACCCTTCCTTCAGATTTCACATGCACCACTGGGAGGGGCCAGGCCCAGGTCTGAAACCCCTGGCTTCAGTAGGCGGTAGGATCGGCCCAGTGGCCCTTGTAGGGCTGCACCACCACCCTGGTAGGGTGTCCGAAGCACAGTGTGAAAGCCAGGAAACCGGCTAGTGGCTTCACAGAGTAGCGTGCAGTAGTAAAGTTGCAGCCTGGCCAGCTGCAAAGGGGTTTGGGCCCAGGGGTTGGGTGTAGAATTCCAGGGGTCCCATTCATTGGGATGAGAAAATTGTATCTTGGTTTTCATTAATCTCTGAGTGCAATTCAGTGTTTCTTCCAGTGAAGAATGTGGAGTTGGAGCAGCAGCACCTGGGCTCTGTCACCACTGGAGCCCACAGATGCTTTGTATAACATTGTAGTTGTCAGGGTATCCCCCAGTGTCATGTATGGTTGTCACACAAATTGCCAGCTCCTTAGACTCAATACCTGTCCAACTGGCTGACAAAAGCACCAGGCTTCCTACCTCCCCACAGCTTCCCAGAGGGTGTGCAGGTGAAGTCTTTGGACATACACAGCGGCTGCCCACTTCATCCGTTGTCAGCTCTTGGTGTTGCTTCCCAGGCCAAGTGGACATGTGCCAGCGTGTGCTCTCTGTGATGAAGCAGAGTAGGCAAACGTTTTACCACGTGTAACAACATTGTGTATTGTCATTGTGTTCATTTTGTCACTGTCCGTTTGTGGCTTTTGTTACTTAGGTTTTCTATCAATGGCAATAATGCACAGTTTACTTTTTCAGATAGCGAATTTATTTAAATCATTCCTTTTAAGCGAGTATGAGCTAATGGTAAAAATTACAAGAGCCAATGGCTGAAGTGTGGAAACCCAGCATGGGCTCACAGGTTCACATCCAATAGCCCTTGGATGTGAATACCTACGAGGGCCCAAGCTTCCTCCAGAATTTGAGTAGGCAGCTGTCAGATTTCTTTATTGGGGGTATGTTTCTGGTTGGGCAAAGGGGAGAGGCTGGGTTGGAACAGACTGAATACCTGCTCACACTACAGCATCATTGAACACTTCCCATAGCACATCTTGGGAGCAAAAGCCAGTGGCTACCTTACCTCCTATGACTCCCATGTAGCAGAGTCAACCTCACCCCAACTGCAGGGGCAGCCAGGTCCTCCCTGAAAATGGGGATGGCCCTCTGGAAGCAGCTCAATTGTTGTAGTCATCAGCACAGGCAGAGGGACAGGCAGGTGATGTTGATAATCAAGCCACTAACCCAGGGGGTGGATTCTGCATATTGTTGTCCTTGGGATCTGCATTCAACAGCTTCATCTACTGCTTAGTAATGCTTAGTGGCTCTCTGGAGCCTCCAGGAAAACTGTAGTCCCAGATAAAACCCTGGAAAACAGATAAAACTGCAAAGAGAGCAATAGACAAATTCACAATCACAGTCAGCTATTTCAATAAATGACACAATTAGACAGAAAGCCATTGTAATAGAGGTGACTCCATTTTTGAGGTCTGAGTTCTAACAGCTTTTAAGCATCACCTCCCCTCTCTACTCCGTGTCTGGGCATGCTGATAAGCTAAACCCTAGTACCCCATCCCTTGGCATCGTGGGAAATTCATGCTATAAGCAGAAGCCTCATCCTGACTCTACTCCCTAATAACCATAAAAACCCCAAGCCAGTCTCCCTTCCCTGCCAGTCTTCTTTGCCTGCTCACTCAATCTGTTTTGGATCTTAACACCTCATAATGTGAGTAACAAGCCTGTTTATCCTCTTTTGATGTGAGTGTGTGTTTGTGCACATGTGTATGTGTGTGTGTCTCAATATCCAACCAAAATTTGGCTGGAGGTCCCTCCTGTTTCTATGAAGTGACCACAGCAATCACTGAGAACATTTAAAACTTGAACAACACTCTCAACCAGCAGTCTTGATTAACATTTCTAAAACTCCACCTGCCACAGAGCACACATTCTTTTTATGTGTATGTTGTCTGTATACCAAGATAAGCCAGATTCAGGGTCATAAAAATGAGTGACAATAAATTCTAAAGGATTCAAGTCATATAAATGACATTTTCTGACCACAATGGAATTAAATTAGAAATTAGGAACATATCTCCAGAAAACATCCAGAGATGTTTGGAAATGAGGTAACATACTTCTAAATAACCTATGGATTGAAAGGAGATCAAATGAGAAATTAGAAAACAAGTTAATAAAATGAAAACATCAAAATTGATGGTATATTGCTAAAACAATACTTGGGAAATTGATAGCACTAAGCCTATATTAGAAGAGAAGATCAAATTAATGACTTCATCTTCTACCTTAAGAAATTAGCAGAGGAAGAAATTAAGTCCAAAGTAAACACAAGAAGTGGAATAATAAAAATCAGTAAAATAGAAAACAGGAAAAATAACAGAGAATATCAGTGTAACAGAAAGACAATATATGAGAAACTCATTAAAACTGAAAAATCTACGCAAAAGTCTGTTGCATTCCTATACACCACCAACAAAAGATCAGACAGATAAGAAACAATCTCATTCACCATTGCATCTTAAAGAATAAAATATCTAGGAATCAACCTACCTAAGGAGGCAAAAGACCTGTTCTCAGAAACCTACGAGATACCAATGAAAAACATGAGATCACACAAACAGATGGAGAGATATACTATGTTCTTGGATTGAAAAAAATCAACATTGTGAAAATGACTTGGGCTTCCCTGGTGGCTCAGATGGTAAAAAAAAAAAAAACCAAAAAACCTGCTTACAATGCAGGAACCCAGATTAAATCCCTGGGTCAGGAAGATCTCCTGGAGAAGTGAATGGCTACCCACTCCAGTATTTTTTTTAACAATTTGTATGGAAACATGAAAGACCTCAAATGCTCAGAGTAATCCTGAGAAAGAAAAGCAGAGCTAAAGGAGTTAGGGTCCCTGACTTCAGACTATACTACAAAGCTACTGGCATAAAACCAGAAATATAGATCAATGGAACAGGACAGCCCAGAGACAAACCCACTCACCTATGGTCTCCTAATGAGTGACAAAGGAGGCAAGAGTATACAATGGAGAAAAGACAGTCTCTTCAAGAAGTGGTGCTGGGAAAACTAGACAGCTACGTGTAAATGAATGAAATTAGAACTAATAC